AATGAAAGAAACATGGAATCATTAAGTACTTTAAATATTAATTTTTTTATTCTAAATTGACATGGCATGATCAATGACAATATTCTTCCTTGAACATTTAGTTTACAAATTGATTGTATGTAAAAAAAAGAAAACATGATTAATAGGCTAGATCAAGGAAAAGGGAAAAAAAACCTGAGGGATAGCTTGTAAAGAGGATAATCCCACATTTACATTTAAAAAGAACAGAGTGGCTGCATCTATGCCCATCATATCTCATGCTGTAGTGCAATAAGATGGGTACAATTAGTTTTTAAGGTTAGGGACAAGCCAATTCAAACAATCAGTGCTTTTAGATCTGCATAGATTGGCGTAGATATGGCCTATACTTATTTATATATATAGTTGAAGGTGTTAATACAGGTGGCGCATTAAATATTGTTTGCCTTCAGATACAACAACTAAATGCTTATTGTTGTGTTTTCAATTACTTACAATTGCAGTTATGTGGACAAACTGTAAATATACTGCAAATATTGTTAGGCTAGTCAAAGAGGTGGTAGGATATTACTCTCTGTGGACATAATGACTTCAGTGGAATAGTCTACCACCAGTGACCTAATATTAGAAAAGCAACAAATGAAAATAGCACTTTGAATTCAAAAATTATATTGTAATTAAAGTATGTATGTAAAACACTCAGTTTAATTAGGATATATAGTAGTTAAGAATTTTAAATCCCAGTTAAGAGATACAGTAGTTGAGGTGAAAATAAAAAGAAAGAATTAATATAAAAAACTAAATCAGTAATGTTTGCAATTTTGAAATTACTTAAAAAACACAAGTAAATACAGAATGCCAAGTTAATTTTTACTTACGGTTTACTTACAATAAAAAATATATAAAAAGTTTAATGTATGGAATCTGATTTTACAAAATTTAAAAAGAGGAGGAGTTATGACATTAAGTGAGAACTAAACCTTAACAACTTGAAGAAATTCATGTTTTTTATATTTGGAGAAAGTTGAAAATTATAAATTGTCTTTTCACATTTAATATTAATTGTAGATTGATACTACAAATATTGGTGCATTAACTAATTCAGAACTTGACAGCTTGGGAGTAGTGGCGATGGGCGATAAGCATACACTTCGTAGCAAATGTAGACCAACAGGTATGATTCACATTTAGTACAATTTCTGTAGAAGAAAATTATGCTGCATTATTACTACACAGTACAGATTTTTTTTTGATGGTTTAAAAAGTAAGAATTGCTAATTTAATTCATAAAATGAATTTTTCCACTGTACACATTCCAAAAATAAATGATGTAGAGGCATGTCCACTTAAATGTTATTAAAAATGACAGATGAGAATTTCAAAAAATTTCAAATTACTTACAACACAAATTACAACTTAAAAATTATTATAAAATGCTTATATTGTATCTAAATCTATAATTACATTTTGACAATTATTATTATTTTAAAGAAATTAAAATATTTTTTTAGGAACCTTATTATCGCAGCTCATATCTGGGCAGGAAGGTATGAAAAACCAAGGCTTTCGTGGGAAAAAAAGAAAACCTACGGGCAGCAAAAAGTTTGTGTGTTTGGCCGGACCATCTATGAAATATGCACCAACAATGGCTGAAAAGCAAATTTTGTCTGAAGCTGGTCTGGGTGAAAAGAATTTAAGTATAAAAGATTCAAACCTTTCACCCAGTCAGTTGAAAGATATTGTGTTGGAATTGTTCCCAAAGCTGGAAGAAGCTGGAGGATATGAACTCCTTTATTGCTCCGGAAACAATCGGGTTCTGTTACCGATAAATGGACCATACACCCCAAGGAATATTAAAGAAAGAACCGGACAAGGACGTATTTATATTCGGCCTATCCAGAATGAACTGAATATAGATTCGCAACTGTAAGTACAAACATAACAATTGCATTTGGTTTTGTCAGAAAATTATTACAGAATGGTATGT